GGTACCAATCCTTTTGACACTATTCCACAAGACAGAGAAAGAAGGAACCCTTCCTAATTCATTCTATGAAGTCAGTATCACCCTAATACCAACCAGGAAAGGATACAATCAAAAAAGAAAACTACAGACTGATATCCTTGATGAACATAGATGCTAAAACCCTTAACAAAATACTAGCTAAACAAATCCAACAACATATCAAAAAGATAATCCACTGTGATAAAGTGGGTTTCATACCAGGGATGCAGGGATGGTTTAATATATGAAAGTCAATAAATGTGATATACCACATAAACACAATTAAAAACAAAAATCACATGATCATATCAATACATGCAGAAAAAGCATTTGACAAAATCCAACATCCCTTTATGTTTAAAACGCTCAGCAAAATCAGCATACAAGGGACATAGCTTAATGTAATAGAAGTCATCTATGACAAACCCACAGCCAACATAATACTGAATGGGGAAAAGTTGAAAGCATTCCCTCTGAGAATGGGAACAAGACAAGGATGCCCATTCTCACCACTCCTCTTCAACATAGTACTGGAAGTACTAGCCAGAGCAATCAGACAAGAGAAAGAAATAAAGGACACCCAAACTGGTAAAAAGGAAGTCAAACTGTTTCTGTTTGCTGACAATGTGATCATTTACCTTGAAAACCCTTAGGTCTCCTCCAGATAGCTCCTATAACTGATAGAATAATTCAGCAAAGATTCCAGATACAAGATTAGTGTACCCAAATCAGTAGCTCTTCTATATACCAACAGTGACCAAGTGGAGAATCAAATCAAGCACTCTCACCACCTTTTGCAATAACTACAAAAAAAAAAGAAAAAAAAAACCCACAAAACTTAGGAATATACCTAACAAAGGAGTCAAAAAACCTCTACAAGGAAAACCACAAAACACTGCTGAAAGAAATCATAGATTACACAAACAAATGGCAACATACCCCATGCTCATGGATGGGTACAATCAACATTATGAAAAGGACCATACTACCAAAAACACAATCCCCATCAAAATACCAACATCATTCTTCACAAAGTTAGAAAACCAAATTCTAAAATTCATAAGGAACCAAAGCTGAGCCCACATAGCCAAAGCAAGACTAAGCAAAAAGAACAAATCTAGAGGCATCACACTACCTGATTTCAAACTATACTATAAGATGATAGTCACCAAAACAGTATGGTACTGGTATAAAAATAAGCACATAAACCAATGGAACAGAATAGAGAACCCAGAAATAAATCCAAATACTTGTAGCCAACTGATCTTCAACAAAGTAAACAAAAACAAAAACTGGGGAAAGGACAGTCTTTTCAACAAATGGTGCTGGAATAATTGGCTAGCCACATGTAGGAGAATGAAACTAGATCTTCATTTCTCACCTTATACAAAAATCAACTCAAGGTGGATTAAGGACTTAAACGTAAGACCTGAAACTATAAAAACTCTAGATGACAACACTGGAAAAACTCTTCTAGACATTGGCTTAGGCAAGGATTTCATGACCAAGAATCCAAAAGCAAATGCAATAAAAACAAAGATAAATAGCTGGGACCTAATTAAACTAAAGAGTCTTTGCATGGCAAAAGGAACAGTTAGCAGAGTAAACAGACAACCCACAGAGGGGGAGAAAATCTTCAAAGACTAATATCCAAAATCTACAACGAACTCAAAGAAATCCGCAAAAACAAACAAACAAACAAACAATCCCATCAAAAAGTGGCCTGAAGACATGAGTAGACAGTTCTCAAAAGAAGATATACAAATGGCCAACAAACGTATGAAAAAATGCTTAACATAACTAATGATCAGGGAAATGCAAATCAAAACCACAATATGATATCACCTTATTACGGCAAGAATGGCCATAATCAAAAAAATTAAAAAAAGAGTAGATGTTGGTGTGGATGCAGTGATCAGGGAACACTTCTACACTGCTGGTGGGAAGGTAAACTAGTATAGCGACTATGGAAAACAGTGTGGAGATTCCTTAAAGAACTAAAAGTGGAACTACCATTTGATCCAGCAATCCCACTATTGGGTGTCTACCCAGAGGAAAAGAGGACATGACTTGAAAAAGATACTTGCACACGCATGTTTACAGCAGCACAATTCACAATTGCAAAATCGTGGAACCACCCAAATGCTTATCAATCAACAAATAGATAAAGAAACTTTATATATATATATATAATGAAATACTATGCAGCCATAAAAAGGAATGGATTAAAAACATTTGCAGTGACCTGGATGAGACTGGAGACTATTATTCTAAGTGAAGTAACTCAGGAATGGAAAACCAAACATTGAATGTTCTCACTGATATGTGGAGGCTAAGCTATGAGGACGTAAAGGCATAAGAATGACACAGTGGACTTTGCAAACTTGTCAGGGAAGACTGGGAGTGGGGCGAGGGATAAAAGACTACAAATAAGGTGCCGTGTGTACTGGTTGGGTGATGGGTGAACCAAAACCTCACAAATTACCACTAAAAAACTTACTCATGTAACCAAATACCACCTGTACCCCCAATAACTTACAGAAACATAGAAATAAGAATTTTTTTAAAAGTGTCAGTCTGCAAAGGATCTACTTGGGTTTTCCTTTACAACCTTTTTTTTGGATACTCCGGTAGGAAATAACATTCTACAAGGCTCCCTTCTACCCATCATCAGTTTCTGTTCAAATCAGGTGGAGCTAGAATCATGATGATAAAGTTATGAAAAGAGTGTGCACCAGTAAGCAAGTAATATGAGTTAGGCTTCAAAGAAAGCTCTTTTTCATAACTGTTTTCATGGTCCACTACATGTTACATCTGAAAAAGAAGATGAAATTGTGACTCTTGGTCACAAATAAAACAAGTCTTTCTTTCAGTATTTTAGTTAAAGACCAGAATTGTAATTATATATTTTTGCCTTTTACTTTCACATATTTAAGATGATTAAGGATTATGTAGTGGCAAAATGCTGACCAGTTCTGTGTATTCCTACATATCTTAAGAGAAACAAATAGTGCACAGCCAAAAAACAATGCAAAACCCATCTGAAAATCTCTCACCTAAAAATTTGGACTAGGTAAAGCTTGTGATTATTTTACAGAGGTAAGAGGTTAAATTTGCCTTTATTTTCCAACTTGGTTCAACACTTAGCTATTGTAGAAAAGACTGAACATTTGATAGATTTCTCTTTAACTTCAAGCAATTTGCATTTTCTTGGCCATCCCTCAGTTGTAGATTTCTCTTTAACTTCGAGCAATTTGCATTTTCTTGGCCATCCCTCAGTTGAAAGCACATAAATCATTACAGCCTGTGTTCAGTAAATATGTACATAACATAGTTGATCAAAAATTGATGAAGCTCCAGTGATTGATGCAAAATGCCAAAAGGTATTAATTGCTTTATATACCCAAGGCTTTGACCTCACTCCAACAAAACCAATTAAGGCACTGGCATAAGAGTTGCCAGCACAGAATAAATATATGTAACCTCAAATTATGTTCATTACCAAAACTGTGGCAATTATTGTTGTACCAAAATCAGAGTAGTATAATGATAGTTAGATGGCAAGAGGTACCAAGATCCTGCCTTAGACATCAGCCTTCTCACTGTACCTGGATTTAGAGGAGAGATATTCACAAGAAGCAATGGTAATTAGGAAATAAATACCTATACTTCTGTATGTTTGTGGGCCACGATTCAAGGCTGAAAGTTTGTAGAAATTGTTATAGACAATCACTCCCCAGCACTTGTTCCTACTTGAATTCAGCTAACATAGCTTTAGGCTGAAGCAAGGTGACTTACTGAAATAAGGCAGTGTGTTAGTTAGTTTTTATTGATACAGAGGAATACCAGAAACTGGGTAATTTATAAAGAAAAGAGCTTTATTTTGGCTGTTATGTGGGATGTACAGGAAATGTGGTGCTGGTATCTGCTTCTGGTGTGAGCCTCAGGAAGCTAACTACAACCATGGAGGAAGGCAAAGAGGGAGCCAGCGTATCATACCTTGAGAGAGGAAATAAGGCAGGGGCAGGTGCCAGGCTCTTTTAAACAACTAGATCTTGCTTGAACCACTGGAGCAAAAACTCATTCATTGCTGTGGAAATGGCACCAAGCCATTCATAAGGAATCTGTCCCCATGACCCAAACACCTCCCATCAGGCCCGCCTCCAACATTGGAGGTCATATTTCAACATGAGGTGTGGAGGGGGCATACATCCAAACTGTATAATTCTGCCCCTGGCCCCCCAAATCTCAGTTCTTCTCACATTGCAAAATACAATCATCCCTTCCCAATACTCCCCCAAAGTCTTAATTCATTCCAGCATTACCTCAAAGTCCAAAGTCTCACCTGAGACTTAAGACCAAGTTCCCTCCACCCATGAGCCTATAAAATCAAAACAAGTTATTTACTCCCAAGATACAATGGCGCTACAGGCATTGGGTAGACATTCCCATTCCAAAGGAAAAAATCAGCCAAAAGGAAAGGCACGACAAACCCCACGCAAGTCTGAAACCCAGCAGGGTATTCATTAAATCTTAAAGCTCCAACATAATCTGCTTTGACTCCATGTCCTTCATGCAGGACACATTAGGGCAACAGGTGGGCTCCCAAGGCCTTGGGCAGCTCTGCCTCTGTGGCTGCTCTCACTGGTTGAAATCTGGTACCTGCATCCTTTTCATGCTGATGGTGCAAGCTGCCAGTGGCTCTACCATTCTGGTGTCTGGAGAGTGACATCCCTGTTCTCACAGCTCCACTAGGTAATACCCTGGTGGGGACTCTGTGTGAGGGCTCCAACCCCACCTTTCCTCTTGGCACTACCCCAGTAGGGGCCTTTTGCAGGGTTCCACCCCTGGAGCAGCCTTCTGCCTAGGCACCCAGACTTTCTGATACATCTGAAATCTAAGGAGAATCTGCCAAGCATCTTTCATTTTTGCATTTTGTGTGCCTGCAGACTTAACATCATGTGGAAGCTGCCAAGAATTACAGTTTGTGCTCTCAGGAGTGGTATCCCCAGCTGTACCTGGAACCCTTTGAGCCATGGCTGGAACAGTAGTCTGCATGCAGGGAGCAGAATCCCAAAGATGACCAGGGCAGCAGGACTCAGAACCTAGTCCCTGAAACCATTCTTTCCTCTTAGGCCCCTGGGCCTGTGATGGGGCCAATCACATCTCTGAAATGCCTTCAAGGCCTTTTTCTCATTGTCATAAATATTAGCGCTTGGCTCCCATGAGTCATGCTAACGTATCTAGCAAGTGCTTGCTTCAGAGCCTGTTTGTGTTCTTTGCCTGGAAATGCTCTTTCCTTCTCTATCACATGACAAGGGTGCAAATTTTCCAAACTTTTATGCTCTGCTTCCCTTTTAAATATAAGTTCTCACTTTAAGCTATTTCTTTACTCCCATGTCTTATCATAGGCTGTTAGAAACAGCCACAATACTTCTTGTGTGCTTTGCTGCTAAGAAATGTACTCAAGCAGATATCCTGGGTCATGACTCAAGCTCAAGCTTCCACAAACTCTAGGTTATGGACGCAATACAGCCATGTTCTTTGCTACGGCATAACATAGGTCATCTATGCTTCAGTTCCCACTTAGCTTCATGTTTCCATTCAAGGCCTCATTAGCCTGGCCTTCACTGTTCATATTTATGTCACAATTTTTGTCACAACCATTTAACCAGTGTATAAGAAGTTTCAAACTTTCCCTCAGATTCCTGTCTTCATCTGAGCCCTCCTAACTCTTCCAACCTCGGCCCATCACCCAGTTCCAAACCTGCTTCCACATTTTTGGGTATCTTTATAGCAACAACCCACTCATTAGCACCAATTTTCTTTGTTAGTTCATTTTCATTGCTATAAAGGAACACGTGAGACTGGATAGTTTGTAAAGAAAAGAGGCTTATCTTAGCTTACAGTTCTGCAGGCTGTACAGGAAGTGTGCTGCTGGCATCTGCTTCAGGTGAGGACCTCAGGGAGCTTGCAATCACGGTGGATGGTGAAGAGGAAGCTGCTGTATCACATGGCAAGACAGAAAGCAAGAGAGATTAGAGAGGGGGTTGGTAGACTCTTTTAAACAACCAGCTCTTGCACGAACTACCAGAGCAAGAACTCACTGACTACCATAAGGAGGGCAACAAGCCATTCAGGAGGGATCCACCTCCATGACCCAAACACCTCCCACCTCCCCCTGCTTCAATGAAAAGCAGGACTCAGAACAAACATCTCCCAGGCCCACCTCCAAAACTGCAGGTCACATTTCAACCTGAGACTGAAGAGGATGCACATCCCAAATATATCAGGCAGAAGCATAATCGGGAACAGACGACACTGAGAAGAAATCATTTTTCCTGGTTTTTTGCCCAAGACTGAGCATTGCCACAAGGGTGAAGATAATAAAAGGAAGATAAAGTAGCTTGGCCTCATCCCATTTAGGAACAACCGTGGCCTTATAATTCCATTCTTACATGGAATATATAAAACATGGCAAGCTATAATCAATAGCTAAATGTGATATTGACTAATATTTGGGTGAACCAGAAATGCTTTCAGCTGAAAGTAACAAAAAAGCCATCTCATACTGATTTAACCAAGGGTGTATTTTCCTGATGCAAGAAAGCTGCAGGTGGGCAATGGTTAGTGTTGGTTCAGCAGGTCAAAGATGGCAGAGACTGAATCTCCACCATTCTCTTGATCTTTCTGTCAGCTCTATTACCCTGTGGTTTCAAAATGACCAACAAAGTCCAGGCATCACATGTGAATTCAAGGCTAGAAGTTAGGAAAGCGGGTTCCAGTATCACTATGCCTTTATTCAGAAAACGAGCCTCTTCCCCAAAACTCTCAGTAGAATTCAGTTTACATATAATTGAACAGAATTTTGTCATATCACCACTCTTTGGCTACAAGAGAGTATGGGGAAGTGACTATTTGGACAGGCGCACAAGGGAGTTCTCCGTCTTGGGGAAAAGTAAGAGGTAGGGCTGGAGGCACGATAGAAATGAGGAAATAAGAGGCTTTAGGAAGATCACATAGTAGATATCTGGCATCAGATTTTGAAGTAAGATCACTAGAGAAGAGAAGGAAATATCCTCTTCGCTTATTTCACACACATAGGAAAATCATTTCAAGAAAGAACAGAACAGTACACATCAGCATATATTAGCAGGATGAGTGAAAAGGGCTTCCCTAGACCAACTCAATCAAAAGCAGGACTGAGATCATGTCTGGAGCTTTAATGAACCTTCATCAAAACTGGCAGACCAAAGTCGCAGGCAATTATAGTCTTCCTTGGTATTTTAATCTACCAAACAATAAGATATAGGTAAATAATGTCACACTAAGACACAGAAGGAACTCTTGTATTTGACAATGCCTGTCCTGGTATTGAAAATGCCTACATAAATAAAATATTTTATAATCAATTGAATAGTGATGAGAAAGACAACTAGCATTTACTACTTCTTAAAGAACTTCAAATATAAAACTTAAAGACAAAATATAAAAAAGTAGAAAAGGCTCTGCAAAGCTTTTCTAAGAACTAATTGACAATATGGTAAGTCTATAGTGGGGATAGGGCATGCTATTTGGCCTTATTTTTTCCAAGTCTATGAAAATTCAATTGAGGCAAAATCTTTTCACCAGGACTATAATTTCACAGTGTGTTTTTCAAGCTAATGAGACAAAACATATGCTACTTAAATTCTAAGTACCCCGATACCAAAGGGTATTGAAGAAGAATACTTTTCATTTACCCAGTTAGCAAAATGGTTCTGAACTCCTTCTATCAACTAGAGTCACTGGGAGCTTTTAAAATTACAGATGCATTGGCAATCCCACTGCTCAAAAATCCTAATTTAATTGGTTTGGGGTAGAGCCCAGGCATAGACATATCTATTTGTTTGTTTGTTGCCCCTGTGTGGATTCCAAAGTGAAGCCAGAGAACCATTGGATGAAGAAAATAATACTCAACAGCACTGAAGATGCAGTGAGGTTGGAGCACACATAAACACTGAGTAAAAATTAGTATCATCTGTCTAAAATGTAATTTAGCAATATGTCATATGCCCAAGCAATTGACTTTCTTTCTAAGAATATATTCTAAACAAGCAAAGAATCAAAGATTAATATACTAAAATGTTCACTGTAACATCAGTTATTAGTAATTCTAAGAATATATTCTAAACAACAAGCAAAGAATCAAAGATTAATATACTAAAATGTTCACTGTAACATCAGTTATTAGTAAAAACATTCAATAAGAGTATAATTCAATAGTCTGGCACATGTGCTTTAAATATTTTCAAAGAAAAAGTTAAAAAATGAGGAACCACTAATGAAGTTTAAATAAAAGTAGAATATGAGTGTATATATTATGGTATAATTCAAATCGTATGAAAAAATGCATACACAAAAGCAAAGTAAGAACATTAAGGTAGTAGTAGCAAAGTATTAACAGTAGTCTCATGGTGGGATTACATTGGTAATGTTTATTTTTATACTTTATGTATTTTTTAAATAATCTATATGCACAAGGTAATTTTATAATCAGAAAAGCAAACATCTCTTTCCAAAGCCTTTGGTTGTAGCTTTTGTGGGTCCTCATTCGTTTAGAAAACCCTAATCTGATTACTGTCATATGATCTGAGTATAGGGACTTCTAGCTTGAAGAAAAATGGAGGTTTTCATTGTTAAATGATGAGGGCAATAGTTGGGGAAGAAGTTCTCAAAATATTTTTTAAGTTTCCATAGCTTCTTTATGCAATGAGCTCTTTTATTTTATATATAATATAACTTAATCTCAAAATGTAATTCTAAAATGAGTATGATTGTATATAGTCAGAATGCATAAAAAATTAGCCCAATTTTGTATACTATCGTTGCCAAAGATGTTAATCTCCTAGGGGAAATTTAACCAGCACTGTTTCTCAATTTGTTAAATATACTAAATAATCTGTCATAAACAACAAAATTGTAGATATTTATTTGTAAAGATATTCTCCTAGACATGGATACTTTCTCTTTTTACTCTCCTATTTGTTTTCCTTTGTTCAAATCATCTTCCCCCAAGAGGCAATCTAGTACATTGCCTCTCTATATGTAAATATTTACAATATTTACATTTGCAATATTTAGTTGTGCTTCATGGGAGTTCATGGCTGAGCCAAGCACATTGTAGCATTGGTTTTCAATTTTACATTCCCAAAGGAGACAGCTGGCTTCATGTCATGATTACTGAGTTAATTGCTGTTTTGATGACTTGGGGTAATGACTTGTATAACCCTTTAATTTAAAGCATTTCAGAAAATATACACAGACGCTGCTGGGTATGGACAAGAGTCCAGTTTGAGTCACCATGTTACAGAAAAAGATGGAAGAGAAAAACCTCCACTTTCATGCCAAGCTGAGAATTTAGGAAAAGAACCTGACCACCTCTGTAGAGTGAGAACCTCTTGCTATTAACTTGTCAGCCATGAGTAGAAAAAGGGCTCTAGCTCAATGATTTCGGGGAGCTAGACTTGAACTTCTACTATTCAAGTCATGAGGCTTAAATATGCTAAAGGAAAGGGGTGGGTAGTTACCATGGGACACACAGAGGAATATTTCAGCTTATATGGATTAAGGTCAGCCTAATTAGTGCATGGAAACAGCCAAACTAGAAGCTGGTGTGATTAGAGAGTCTACATTTGTTAAGGGCAAAGATAATGGGCTATAGATTGTATTCTAGGGAGGCCTAGCAAAGGAGTGACATGTAAATGAGCTCAGTACAACCTACACAACAGGCAATTTGTCTCTGGGCACTTCTCACCTACTCTACAAGCTGGCTTTTCCCCAGCACCAATCCTGAGATCTTGTTTTTGCTTTCAAACAACTGTCTAGCTAATTCCCACCAACTCTAAAACAGCAAAGGGGCTGGCTGGCAACACCCCAAGTGGTGATGCTCCTAGAGTCTATTCACATTGTGGAGCAAGAGGAGAGGGGGAGGTGGAGAAGTCCAGAAAAAAAGAACTTGCCTGCAGCCTTGCAGGATCATCAGCTTCTGTGAAGGGGCCTAAGGCAGCTCCATCTCACTGACATCATCACAGGACAATAGGGAGATATGGGGACTATGCTACAATGAAAGGGACCTAGCGATGACTTGAGACCTCACTTAAATTTAAAAGAACAAATCAAGACAGTACTGTCATTTTAGAAAAGCTGCTGACTGTTCATCTAAACTTTATAGTTTACCCTACCCCCATCTCAACTCTGCCAGACCCCAGAAATTCAGCAGGGATTTAAGACTTTGATCATGGAGAAAATATTAATAATCATGCTATAATAACAAATAACTATTGAACATTTACTATGCTTCAAGCACTGTGTTACAACTTTAAATGAACTTGGGTATATCATCAGCATCACCATCAATTCTGAGATGCAAAAACTACCTCAGAAAGGTGAACAGTTCTGTCCTGGATGAAATAGGAGGAATGGGTGGGACCAAGATGGCAGGCAGGCAGCCCCATGACAGGGCTGTGTTGTAAACCACTGTGGGAGGGGCAGAAAGAGAGGAGGCAGGGGAACAGTGATTGTGAGGCAGCCACACCTGAGTGCTAATTCTATGCCAGCCTCTTCGCTAGCATAACTAACAGCATAACAACTTAAGACAATTTGTTTCATCAATTCCCATTTTACACATGAGGAAAAGGAGGTTTTCAAAGGATTACATGACCCCCAGCTGATAATGCTGGAGCTAGCATTAGAATCCAGACAGATGCTCAAATGACATTTGACTTAATATTCTTGCTGCTGCCAGGAAGAGGCACCTACAGAGCAGTCTGGCTGGAAAAGTGAACTTTGAGGATCTTTTAACTTCTAGTAGGATGAGGAAAGTTTTTATTTCTTTCTCACTTTGTTTGATACTTTTTTTTTTTTGAGATGGAGTTTCACTCTTGTTGCCCAGGCTGGAGCGCACTAGAGCGATCTCGGCTCACTGCAACCTCTGCCTCCCAGCTTTAAGCGATTCTCCTACCTCAGACTCCCGAATAGCTGGGATTACAG